CATCTTATTTACATCTCTAGAGGAGCAAAGTCTCTGAACTTCAAAACCTCCTTTCACAGATTAACTGTCTCCCCATTCTCCGCTCCACCCCGTGACTTTGACACCGCATTCAAAGCCGGTGGTGCAGCCCCCCGGCCCCGGGCCCTCCCTCCCAAAGAGGGGCCTTTTCAAGTGCAAAGCCATGGGGTTTAATCCTCCTTCCCCTCTCCCATGGGCCAGACCCGTGTAGGGCTCAGCCCCTCGCTGCAATGGGAGAACCCCACCTTAAAAGTGCCAAGACCCTCTCTCCCCATTTCAGGAGGCTCCAAAATTTAAGGAGCCCATTTTCAGCTCCTTCCTGGCTTGAGCCAGGATGCACCATGGCTTTGTTTCTGCCGCGATGGCAGTGGGACGGATGCCACGTACCGGTGGGGCACTCGCAGTGGAACTCGTTGATCTTGTCAAGGCAGTTGCCATTGTGCAGGCAGGGGCTGCTGGCACACTCGTCCGTGTTGATCTCGCAGTAAACCCCCTCATAACCTGCGGAGAGACCCGGCGCACCGTCAGCACCGCAGCACGGCATCGGCACAACGCGCAGGACAGGCAGCTTACACCAAGGCGCATTTCCGTCTTTACAAAGGCAGCTCAGGAGCTGTGCTACAGGTGGTGGGACCTGATGCACAAGCCGCTCCATGGTTGTCCACCCCAGACCTCGCTGCCCTTGGCTTGCAAGCCGGCAAGAGGAGTCCAGAGCAGGGCTGATGGTGCCACTGCTGGTGACCGTGCAATCTTTACCATGCTCTTTCTTTTCGGTGCTGTGCCCAGGCACATGCACCTCCTGTGGCTCCTCACCCAAAGCAACATCGAGCTGAAGCTCTGGAGCACCTGGAGCCCTCCCACTGCCCGCACCCAGCACTGGGGTAGGGGTCCACGGGGCCGTCCACCCACCGGGCATGCAGATGCACTGGAACTCCCCAATCTGGTCCAGGCAGGTGGCATCGTTCTGGCAGGGGTTGGAGAGGCACTCATTGACGTCGATCTCGCAGCGAGGGCCCGAGTAGCCCTGCAGGCACTGGCACTGGAAGGACCCCTGGGTGTTGATGCACTTCCCTGCATGCTCGCAAGGGTTGGCTCCTGCAACACACAAGTGTGGCTCACAGGACACGCTCCTCGCTGCACGTGAGCTCCCGGCTGCACCGCCGCTTTCCCCAGCTGCTCCTCTGCCGCCCACGCGGTCTCAGCCCTGGTGCTCACCCAGCGAGCACTCGTCCACGTCCTGGTTGCAGGCTGGCCCCATGTACCCCGAAGGACACGTGCAGATGGCTTTGCCATTGACGGGGTTGGTGTCGCAGTTGGAGCCCTCGTTGCAGGGGTTGCTGATGCAGGCGTCATCGAGGTGGCACAGCAAACCTGGGCAGCAAGAGGTAGGTGCACGTCAAGGGTGAAGGGCACACAAGTCACCACGCACCAAGACCTCAGCCAGGAGGCGGCGGGCGTGCGGGGAGGTGCCACCCTGCACTGTGAGCAGGGGGCAAGATGGGACAGGGCCTCACCCGTGCGGCCATGGGGGCACTCGCAGTAGAAGGAGGCTACCCGGTCGTGGCACGTGGCCCCGTGGAAGCAGGCGGCCATGGCACAGTCGTCGATGTTCTCGCTGCAGTCCTCGCCTGTCCAGCCGTTGACGCAGACGCAGTTGTAGCCACCGTGGTTGTTGTGGCAGGTGCCCCCGTTCTGGCAGGCGTTGGGCATCAGCTGGCACTCGTCCACGTCCTCGGTGCAGTACTGACCTGCCAGGGGATGGGGCACCTGCATGAGGCTGGTGCCGTCCAGCTCCCGCAGGCTCCACGAGCATCGCTGCGAAGCAG